AAAATAATTCCTAAAGATTTAAGATTAAAGATTAAAGCTGATTTTTTAATTTTTTTTTAAATACTATGATGAGCCACTTTTTCTGAAAATAATTTATAAAGAACTCGTTAGACGTCAGCCCCTTTTAAAATATTTTTCTAAGGACTATTTGCATTGTTTGGATTTATAAAAAATATTTTCTGAAGGTCTTAAAAATCAGGAAGATTAAAAAATAATCTGAAAATATTTTCCAGATCCCTAAACTAACAAACAAGTATTCTTTGAATATCCTGTGAAGTACTCCATGAATATTAGTTCTCGATTTTTTGAAAAATATTTTTGAATGATATTTATATAATAGTAATTTTTCATATTTTTTGAAGAGCTTAAGGGCTAAATTTTGAAGAACTTAAAACTGTGATATTATTTTTTGAATATATTATAAATGCTTTTTAAGAAATTAAATTGACTTTTTTGAAAATATTTTTAAAAGAAAATTTAATTAAAATATTTATTTCGAAATTTATAGTCAATGAAATTATTTCCAATTCCAATTGCATGCATGTCCAACATGTGTGATGTGCCACGAAAAGAAATGCCACTCTCTCTCTCTCTCTCTCTCTCTGGCACTCCTACAATACCCAATTACGAATTTTCAATTTCAATACAATTCCAATACAAATTCTTAGTTTCAGCAACTAACAGCAATAACAGCAACAACAGCCACAATAAGCAATAACTTAAGGGTGTGTAAATACGTAGGACTAATTTGAACTTTTGCTTGGAGCACTAATTGTAATTTAATTTCCAATTAGTAAACAAAAACAACAAGAAACAAGTACAATTTCCCATTTACATGTCGAATAAATAGGATTTTCATGAACAGCAACAAAGACGCACTCACACACCCACACTCGAATATGCACACTTTTCTTTCACAATATCGTACACATGTCAAATCTAACAATACTCAATCGAAAAGGAAACAGAAATTACTCACGCACACACTGTCACACTCACACTTTTATATTCCCACAAACATATACATGTGTCGGCAAAACGAGAAACATGCAACCAAACATGTTTCCTTAAAATTTAAATTTTTATATATCTGGGAGTCTGTGTATGTGACTGTTTAACTTTTGCAGTGTATGTGTTAGGTAGGTGTGCGTATGTTTGTATTCTTGAATTTTATTCTATACAACCAAACAACAATAACAACTGTAAAGTAGTCTTATTTATGCAACTATTGTTTTTCATTTTTTGTCCTTGCACTTCCCCTTCTCTGATTCTCTTACTTATTCATGCAAAGGACAATGTGTTGTTTTGCAAGTGCTGTTGTGCGTCTATTGCAGGAAAAAAGAAGAAAAAAAAAAACAAAGTGAAAAATAGAATTATGTTGTCCTTTCTTGGAAAATTATTTTTTCCCAGAATGCTTAGAAGATTAGAAATTAAAGGGGGCATGGTTTTGGTGTGATGGCCATTGTGGGTGCAGCGGTACTAAAGTTACATCATTGGGTATGATGAAACTTGAGAAATGCTATAGGTTCTAAGACCAATCAACGATGATTTAAAAGTAATATTTTCTGAAGGATTCTAAGAACAATAAACTTGGGGGAATGGTATATTATTTTTATGATCCATTAAAAATGCAGATCTATAAGTTTGAAACACAAATTTATAATATGTCATCTTTGGAATATATTAATATGTATTAATTGAAAAATATTGAAAAATTTTCCTTTTTTTTTAAATGTAGCTTTTGAAAATCCATCAAAAAAAAAAATTAAAATAAAAAAAAATAAAAATTTAAAACTACCACGATTACTGTGTCAAGAAAGATCCAGGATTGATGATTCAAAAGCCCTGAGTTTGAAGCTGCAAGTCTTTTTCAGACAGTTCTCCAATTAATATTAGAAATTTTTAGAAGCTTTCAGAACTTTCAGGCTTTTCTGAAACTTTTTTTTTAAATATATTCAGATTTTCCCTTTGTCAATATTTCTATAATACAGGGTGAGATGAAAAAACTGCAACCAACTTCAGACTGCTGTCATTTCTAAGCCACTTGTCCAAAAGCTGCTTTAATTACCGTGATACTAGTAGCGTAGCCCGATGTCAAGGAAGTGGACGGAAGAAAACAGCAACATCGACAGAAATGGTTCGAAAAGTAAAGAAGCGAAACCCGCGTCGCAGTGCCCGAAAAATGACTCGTAAGCTGAAAATATCGCAATATTCCGGCAAATATTGAAAAATGAGCTCGGGGTAAGGCCATTGAAATTGCAAAAAGTGCAAGAATTTACACCGCAACAGAAAGAAAACAGACTCAAAAGAGCTAAAGAGTTGCTTTGCTTGGCCGAAAGTGGTGAACTGCCGAATTTGGTTTTCTCCGTCTCCATTGAGAAAACATTGGTTGTCCAGTAGTTTTTAAACAAACAAAATGATCGACTTTACTTGCCAAAGAGGTCAGCTGAAAATGTACACCTTCTGATGGCCACCAGAACTGAAGCGGCAGCCATGGTGATGGTGTGGACCATAACGCCATTACAGCCGATGGTCGCTCTCCGCTCGTATTAATCGACCGCGGCATCAGAATAAATGCCGAATATTATCGCTAAAATATTCTGGAGGGTGTATTAACGCCTTGGGCATGCAAACATTTTGGCCGCAGACCTTGGACGTTCCAACAGGACTCAGCACGCGCCACCCAAGAGTGGTTACAAAATGAGGTTGCTCGCTTCATTTCTAGTGCACCATGGCAAGCGCTTTGCCGGGAATGGGTCAAAATACCGCAGAGCAACATTCGGGCAGCGTGTGACGGATTCATTGGCCACTTGAAGGCCATAATTTGTGCTCCAAATGACCGATATCAGCCCAAATGGACTGCATTTGGCATTTCCGACGGAATTCAGCCTAAAAGCAAGTGCTTAAAATTTTGTTGAAACTCGATTCAGATACAGCTGTAGCTCCCATATACATTTTTCATACGATTTGTTGTTGAAGTCCCTCATATGCTGTTATTGTTCACTCACCATTTAAGTAGTATCAGCTCAGCGATTTAACCCTGTCCGTCCGTCCGTCTTTCCGTCTGTTGTAATAATGCTACAGTCCAAACGAATTAAGATAGGAAGCTAAAATTTTGCGAAAGACAGATCTGGTCTTTCGTCTGCAGGCAGGTCAAGTCCATTAAATCATATAGCCCCCCATATACCGGTACCCCCCTAAATTCGGTATTTTGATGATTTTAACCACATTTTCAAAAGAATTGTCTGAAATTCTACACAAGGAGTTCTTTGTTAGTACTTTACCCCCTGAAAGAGGATAAATTAAAAAAAAAAAAAACAAGTAAAAAAACATAAAGTTCGGCAAGGCCAAACTTTTACTACCCTCCACCTTAGGGTAAAGGAAACATTAGAAGAAATGTGGCAAAAACCATTAAAATGCCGAATATAGGGTAGTATCGTTATGTGGGGGCTATACCAAATCGTGGACCTGCACATGCAATGTTTCGCCAAAGGAGCTAGAACCCATTATGACCTACAAATACCAATTTTCAGACAAATCTGTGAAAAAATGTGGCAAAAATCATCAAATTACCGAATATCGGAAGGTACCGTTATATGGGGCCTATACCAAAACGTAGACCTATAATTACAATGACTCGCCACACGAACTGGGACCCATTATGATCTACAACTACCAAATTTTCAGAGAAATTCTTGAAAAAATGTGTCAAAAATCATAAAAATACCGAATATTGGGAGGTACCGTTATATGGGGACTATATCAAAACGTGGACCTATACATACAATGTTTAGTCACACGAACTAGCACCCATTATGACCCACAAATACAAATTTTTAAACAAATCCGTGACAAAATGTGGCAAAAATAATCAAAATACCGAATATCGGGAGGTACCGTTATATGGGGGCTATACTAGAACGTGGACCGATATATCTGATTTTCAATACCAACCATCCTAGACACAATGCAAATTGCTCTGCTAAATTTTGGCGCTCTACGTCAAATAATGTGTACTGTATCGTGATTTCAACAGACAAACGGACAGACAGACGGACATCGTTAAGTCGACTTAGAATTTTATGCTGATTATGAATATATATTTTATGGGGTCTACGACGATGACAAAGTTAATATACCCTCCTTTCCGAAGTGGAAGGTATAAAAATTGTAACTTACGAGTACTATATTAAAATTTTTTAAATATTTTCGAATGACTTTTTGATTATTAGAATTTTTTATGTAAATGTTTTTTTTTTTTTTTTTTTTTTTTTTTTTGAATGATTTTTGAAAATAGTTCAATTTTTTTTAAATATTGTTTTTTTTTTTTTGTAATTTTTTGAAGCTAAATATAAGAAGATGAAAAAATTAGACTATGACGTATAAGCAATAATTTGAAGTATACGTCATCATATATTTTCATATCCATGCCAAAATCATATTCCCATCTTTCCAAACTCCACACCCATTTTCGAATAAACTTTCTCTCTGCAACATATGAACCACACAAAAACCTAGGAAAAAGACAAATAACACAATCAACTTGAATAGGCAATAGTTTATAATCAAAGCACATGACCTTAGATAACAATGCGGGTGGGAACAACATGAGCAGCAGTATATCCTGAAGCTTTGATTTTAAGGCCAAATCCGAACACAAACACACACACACACACACGCACTCACACAGAGAAAACACTCAAAGAAATTTATACATCCTTTTGGCGTACTAATTACTCTCTGGTCACATTCATAAGAACCACAACAACCATAGGCCGAAAAAGAAGAGGAGATAACAAAAAGGCTTCTTGGGGCAACAATTGAATGTGAACTAGTTTTTTTTTTTTTTTTTTTTTTCGTTCGTTCGGGGTTCGTTTGGTTTGTTCGTTTTGGAATAGAATTCCCAATTTTACGGCGCTTTTCATTTTATGTTGTCTTTTGCTGTGATTTTTAATGCCTTACTCATCCCTCCACTCTCCTCTCTCTTTGTTTCATTGCAGCCCGTTGGCATTTATGCCAAGAAATACGAATGGGCCGCCCGGCCATCCTCAACGCCCAGCGGTGGCCTGCATTTGGATTTACATCCGCCACCGATGCAGATTGGTGGCGACTGTTCGCTGTGGATACGCTCGGCCACATTGGATTTCGATGATGGCCTTTGGGAATGTCAGGTGACGGCAAGTGATTTTACGACACAGGATGCTTTAACCAGTCAACCGGTACGGTTGGTTGTACGTGGTAAGTATGGGCAAATAGCCAAGGCAGGTGGACAGCAACAGTAACAATAACAGCAGGCACGTCACATACACAAAAGGATAACAATGACAGGGACAACGGCAGCAACAACACCAATACTGCAACAAACAAAATAGAGCCATGAAGACTTTTACTATGCAACACACACACATACATACACACAATGTACATACTCGATACAATTTCCCCAATGGGTTTCCAGTGTTTGCCTGCTTTGTTTTTTTTTTTGTACGCAAAATAGTACCCATTTAGTTGGACACTTGTCCAAATCGATCGACATGAAACAATACCTGAATAGCCGGTCCGACGACCAGTCATTCAGCCTTGTTTGAAAAGGACCATTTGAACTTGTTTATGGTTTTCAGGTTGGTTGCCCATTTCAGATTTCCTTTTGTGTGCTGAATTTGAAACATTAGAAGGTGAAGTTTTGAGAATGATTTGTAATTTCAAAATTCGAAGATGGTTATCAAAGGCAGTACTAGACTTAGATTTGGATAAATTTCCAAAATTTTAAAAATGGAGACTTATTTTTTTATAGAAAAGTTTGTGGAGATTAACTTTTTGCATAAAAAGGTTTATGGAGACTCACCTTTTCTATAGAAAAGTTTGTGGAGACTCACTTTTTCCCATAGAAAATTTGGTGGAGACTGAACTTTCCTATAGAAAATTTAGTGGAGACTAAATTTTCCTATAGAAAAGTTAGTGGAGACTAAATTTTCCTATAGAAAAGTTGGTGGAGACAAAATTTTTTATAGAAAACATGGTGGAGACTAACTTTTTTTATAGAAAAGTTGGCAGAGACTAACAGAAAAATTAGTGGAGACTAAGTTTTTCTACAGAAAAGTTGATGGAGACTAACTTTTTCTATAGAAAAGTTGGTGGAGACTAATTTTTCCCATAGAAAATTCGGTGGAGACTGAACTTTCCTATAGAAAATTTAGTGAAGACAAACTTTCCTATAGAAAAGTTTGTAGAGACTCACTTTTTCTGTAGAAAAGTTTGTGGAGACTAACTTTTCCTATAGAAACGTTGGTGGAGACTAACTTTTCCTATAGAAAAGTTGGTGGAGACTAACTTTTCCTATAGAAAAGTTGGTGGAGACTAACTTTTTCTATAGAAAAGTTGGTGGAGACTAACTCTTTCTATAGAAAAGTTGGTGGAGACTAACTCTTTCTATAGAAAAGTTGGTGGAGACTAACTCTTTCTATAGAAAAGTTGGTGGAGACTAACTCTTTCTATAGAAAAGTTGGTGGAGACTAACTCTTTCTAAAGAAAAGTTGGTGGAGACTAACTCTTTCTATAGAAAAGTTGGTGGAGACTAACTCTTTCTATAGAAAAGTTGGTGGAGACTCACTTTTTCTATAGAAAAGTTGGTGGAGACTAACTCTTTCTATAGAAAAGTTGGTGGAGACTAACTCTTTCTACAGAAGAGTATGTGGAGACTCACTTTTTCTACAAAAAAGTTTGTGGAGACTGACCTTTTCTACAGAAAAGTTTGTGGAGGCTGACCTTTTCTACAAAAAAAACTTGTGTAGACTAACTTTTTCTATAGAAAAGTTGGTGAAGGCTAAATTTTTCTACAGAAATGTTGGTGGAGACTTACTTTTTCTATAGAAAATTTGGTTGAAACTCAGTTTTTGTATAGAAAAGTTGGTGGCTATACCCTTTTTTATAGCAACGTCTGTGGAGACTCCAGTGTCAATAGAAAAGTTTGTGGAGACTCACTTTTTCAACGGAAAATTTTGTGGAGATTCACTTTTTCTATAGAAAAGTGGGCGGAGACTCATTTTTACTACAGAAAAGTTTGTGGAGACTGACCTTTTCTACAAAAAAACTTGTGTAGACTAACTTTTTCTATAGAAAAGATGGTGAAGACTCACTTTTTCTAAAGAAAAGTTTGTGGAGACACACTTTCTCTACAGAAATGTTTGTGGAGACACACTTTTGCCATAGAAACATTTGGGGAGACTTGCTTTTTACATAGAAAAGTGTGTGGAGACTTACTTTTTCCATAGAAAAGTTTGTGTAGACTCACTTTTTCGAAAAAAAAATTATGGAGACTTCTTCATAGAAAATTTAGTTACCGGAAAAAATGATGGAAACTTCGCTCTTTGATAGAAAACCAACCAGACATATATAAGTTAGATTTTTGTAGTACGTTTTAAACTTTCTTCATTTTTAAAGCTAGTTGGTTCCCATTCTCCGCAATTACTTTGCCATTGGAATACAACCGTAAAGAGTATAAATACCAAGACTACCTTAATTAATTTTCTAAATCTCAAAACTAAATGCTAAAGTAAGTAATCCCAACCACAAATACCATGACAGCAGTCATTACTTATCTTCCAGATGCATCAGAGTAAAGTGAGTTTTTTTTCTCTCTCTCCCCCTTCAGCAGCTATAAAAGTTGAATAGCTTTAATTGAGAAAAAAAAAAATAGCTACATACATTTCCAACATTCATTCTAACGAAAATCTTAGCTCGCAGATATATATCATCGATAGACAAAACCAAACAAACACTCACACACGCACATACGAAATACTTTTTCTTCTATATCTCTTCTGTGTTTATGTATCAAACCAAAGGTAAGAGAAAATGCATTTAAAAATGCAGCTGATACCATTATCGCACACAACGACTGGCTTTCAATCCAGGGGACAGTGGGTGTGAAATAATTACCGTTGCAATGATAATCCAAAAGTACAAAAATGTGAACATGCCGGAGACTATTATTTTCTAGAGAAAAATTGATGGAGTCTCATATTTTATTAAGAAAAGTTAGTGGAGACCTAGCTTTTCTAGAGAAAAGTTAGTGGAGACTTACTTTTTCGAGAAAAAAAGTTGGTGGAGACATACTTTTTCCACAGAAAAGTTAGTGGAGACCTAGCTTTTTTATAGAAAAGTTGGTGGAGACCTACCTTTTCAATAGAAAAGTTGGTGGAGACCTACCTTTTCAATAGAAAAGTTGGTGGAGACCTACCTTTTCAATAGAAAAGTTGGTGGAGACCTACCTTTTCTACAGAAAAGTTGGTGGAGACTCAACTTTTCCATAGAAAAATTGCTGGAGACCCATCTTTCCATACAAAAGTTTGTGGAGACCCACCTTCTCAATAGAAAAGATGATTGGAAATCAGTTTTTCTCTAAGGAAAAATTTGTAAAATCAATTTTTCCCAAAACACAGTGCAGTCCTTCGACGGGAATGGATTGCTTTTGCCAAATCCTCTTCTAATCCTTGTTGAAAAAAATGTTCAAATGGATTGTTGTTGTAATTTTTGTTTTCTCCATGTGTGTGTGTATGTGTGTACGTACGTTAGTTTTTAACACACTTCTGTGATGTTAAACACGTATCATCTGTTGTAGAACCGCAGGTAATCAGACACCTTGATATTTTGTAAGAATTACAAAACTACATTCGGGTTTAAGGAGTACATCCTTGTCTGTGTGTGTGTGTGCGTGTGTACGTATGAAATGAAATTTTCAACAAATCTCATACAATATAAGCTTTGATTAAGCATGAACATTTTCCACTACCTTGAATAGAAATTCTTTTTATTTCCCATCGAGTTTCACCCAGATGTGTGTGTTTCTGTGTTGGGTCTTAAGACAAATGATAAGCCAAACATAATTGCACAAATACACACACAATATCAGCTGCACACAAAAACCCATACATCCGCAGAAAAACCATAACCCTAAACTGATGAGAGAATTTTCCAAGAATATCAAAGGAGAAGAATTGCATTGAAGCCAACATAGAATAGATATCCGTTTTCCGAAAGTTACAAATGTTCCATGTCGTTACATGGCTGTCGGACCACATAAACCCCAGAATGTCTTGATGTCTAATTGGGTATTGTATTAGAATTGTTTGTGTGCATTGTGTTCAGCTGTGTGTTAACTCCCACATATACACACACACACACATATGTATGCATGTCAGTCATATCAACAAGAACAACAATGCACATCCATTGTTTTATGGTTTTGTTATGCAGCTGTCCACCACTTCTCTCCCTCTCTCTCGCTTTCTCCCCAAATACACTTTTCTTACTGACAATTTGTGTCAGTGGGTTTACAAGGTAATGGCCAGCTTCCACAATCTCATTGATAATGAGTCGCCTTTGTTCTTTCGGAAATCTGTAAGACATGTTTTCATTGCAGTAAACTCATTACGATTTTGGGTGGATTTGGAAGAGATTGCTGATGCCTGATACCAATATAACCTACACGACATTGAGATATGCACCTACCCGTTCACCTGTGACATGTAACAGTGGTGTGAAGTTCATGAAAAACCGAGATCATATTGATTCATCTTCGCCATCTAAACTTTATGGCTAGGATGAATCAATATGATCTAATTCATGCATAAATGTCCTTTAAATACCTACGCCACCAGAAATGAAACCATTTCGAACTGGGACCAACTGACAAAAATTGTAAATTTTAAATAAAATATTCATAACCAAGTTTAAAAGTATCAGTTAGTCCAAGTTTGCTCATTTCGCGTTTACGAGGTTCTTGCCTATTCAAAATTGTGACCCATTTTGGAGGAGGTACCAGTCAAAATTATTGGAATTTAAATAGTATGCATACAAAATTCTTGAGAACTTTTCCACAGAAAAGTTGGTGGAGACTAAACTTTTCCATAGAAAAGCTGGTGGAGACTCAATTTTTCCATAGAAAAGTTGGTGGAGACTCAACTTTTCCATAGAAAAGTTGGTGAAGACTCAACTTTTCGATATAAAAATTGGTGGAGACTCAACTTTTCGATAGAAATGTTGGTGGAGACCCAATTTTTCCATAGAAAAGTTGGTGGAGACTCAACTTTTCGATAGAAATGTTGGTGGAGACCCAACATTTCCATAGAAAAGTTGGTGGAGACCCAGCTTTTCTACAGAAAAGTTGGTGGAGATTCAACTTTTCTGTTAGTGGAGACTCAACTTTTCTATAGAAAATCAGTGGAGACTTTTCCATAAAAAGGTTAGTTGAGACCCAGCTTTTCTGTAGAAAAGTGAGTGGAGACCCAACTTATCCATGAAGGCCGAGCTTTTTCATAGAAAAGTTAGTGGTGACCCAGCTTTTCCATAGAAGATTTGGTGAAGACCCTGCTTTTCCATAGAAAAGTTGGTGGAGACTCATCTTTTCCATAGAAAAGTTAGTGGAGACTCATCTTTTCCATAGAAAAAAGTTAGTGGAGACTCATCTTTTCCATAGAAAAGTTAGTGGCGACTCATCTTTTCCATAGAAAAGTAAGGGGAGGCCCGACTTTTCTACAGAAAAATTGGTGGAGACCCACCTTTTCCATGGATAAATTATTGGGATTTAAATAGTATGCATACAAAATTTTTGAGAAGGAGTGGTCCGATACTTCCCGTCTCCGAACTCGATCTATTTTAATAATAATATTTAGCTGTACCAAGTTTAAACCAAATCGCATTCTCCATTCGAGAGTTATCGTGTGAGAGACACGTTTTAGCCGTATAAAATGATATATACCTTCTGAAGCCAAATGACTGAAGGTATAACAATGAAAGAAAGAAAAGAGCTGGCGAAAATTCTAAGGTACCTTATATACTTTACAATGGCTGGGTAGTGTAGATCTTGCAAAATGCTGAAATTTGTATTTTTTTAATGAATATGTTTGAAATTTAATATAATACATGTATTTCAAAAAAATTGATATATATTGTTGTTGTGAGACCATGATTGGACCCATATTAAACATTTTTAGGGCAAAAATACATTATCCGCCCTAGAAAAACTAATTGCCTATTTACACCTCATTCATTTGAAAATTGTAGAAAAAACAATCAAAATTCTAAAAAAGGCAAAAACCCTAAAACTGGCTTAGAATCTCAAATATATGAACATTTTCGGATCTCAGGCAAATAGTTCGACTTCTTTCAAAAGATCACGCAAAATGAAGATTTGTTTCAGAAAAGCTCATAAAAATCTCAATTTCTTTGACAATGTCTATTGAGAAAAAGGCGCTTAAGGCTCAATTTGGTGTAAAGGGTGAGATAAAAAAAACTGCAACAAAGTCAAACGCCATAATTTTTACATTTTTCAAAAAACAATTATTGAATGCACGTGCACGTGCTGAGTGCGATTGTGCTGTGTCCTGTTGAGATGTCCAAGGTCTGCGGCGAAAATGCTTGCGTGCCAAAGGATTTAATACACCCTCGCATTAATATTCGGCATTTATCCTGATGCCACGGTCGATTAATACGAGCTTAGAACGACCATCAGCTGTTATGACGGCCCACACAACCACCATGGCCGGCGCTTGAGATCTGGTGGCCAACCGAAGGTGCACATTTTCAGCTGACCTCTTTGGCAAGTAAACACGATTATTTTGTTTGTTTACAAACTGCTGGACAACGAATATTTTCTCATCGGTGAAAACCAAATTCAGCACTTCACCACTTTCGGCCAAGCGAAGCAACTCTTCAACTCTATTGAGTCTATTTTCTTTCTCTTGCGGTGTAAGTTCTTGCACTTTTTGCAATTTCAGTGGCTTAACCCCGAGCTCATTTTTCAATATTTGACGAATGGAATACTGCGATATGTCCAGCTCACGAGCCATTTTTCCGCCACTGCGACGCGGGTTTCGATCAAGTCGCTCCTTTACTTTTCGAACCATTTCTACTGACGTTGCTGTTTTCTTCCGTTCACTTCCTTGACGTCGGGCTACGCTATCAGTATCACGGTAACGAGCAATGGTACAAGACACAAAAGATTTATTCACATTTAAATGCTGGAGTGCTCTAACGATAGCCACTTGTGGTTTTCCAGCCAAATATAAAGAAATCACACTATCATTTCATCTCACCCTTGTATGTATTTAAAATTTGTCTTTATTAAAAAATAAATGGCCTCAGAGACATACAATCTGGAAGAAAAGGTCATATAAGGTGTACTTTCCAAAAGAAAATTCATCTAAAAGAACAGGTCTTTTTTCTTTTTTCAAAAAAAAGCTTCCAACTATCCGCTCCTAAAAAAATCCTAGAAAGTATTCTTCTATCAAAAGAGTCCTTTTTTATTAAACAGCTCTTGAAATCAGAAGAAAGTGTCCAAGCACCAACATATACTTCCTGAAAGCAGGCTTTCGTGGCAATTTTTATGCCCTACGTCTCACAGTGGTGAGGGTATTATGTCTTCGTGCATTTGTTTGTAACACGGATAAGGAAGCGAGATAGACCTATAGTTAATTTTTAAGAATCTTCATGGAATCGCTTTTTACGCATGTCAGTCCCCTGTCCGTCCGTCCTTCTGTCCCTGTATGTTTGTGAACAAAATACAGGTCGATCCGATTGAAATGAAATTTTCAAAACAATATTTGTTTTACCTGAACCCTATTGAAATTGATGAGAATCGGTTCAAATTTGGATATAGCTCTTATATAAATATTTTTCCGATATCAGGTTTATTGTGCACCAAATAGCCGACAATGACCTGAATTTTGGCACATCCGACTGAATTCAGTCCAGAAGCAAGTACATTAAATTTGAAGAAAATCGGTTCAGATATAGCTATAGCTCCTATATATATGTTTCATCCGATTTAGGATTTCAAGTCCTTCACATGTGTAATATACATTTCACTACATATTTGGTACCAGATATCAGATACAGCTCAGAAATAAGTGTTTAAAATTTTGGTCAAGATCGGCTCAGATTTGCATATAGCTCTTATATATATCATCCTTCGATTTCAATTTTTTTGTGCAATATATGGTGCTAATATCAACCCAAATAAACTGGCTAATATCAGTCCAAATAGACTGAATTTTAATTAAATTTAAAGCATGCCCAATACTTCCCCTCTCGACCAAATAGGCCCTCTCGACCATTGGCCATGCAATCCCCTTTTTCCTATCCCAGTCACGACAACTAAATACCGTTGACACTGTTTAAACTATCTGCCATTATTTAAACAAGTTACAACTAATGATGATGATGCCGACGATGCCGATGATGGTGATGGCTGGCTGTGATGCTGATTGCCATGCTTCTTCTGTCGCATTCTCTAAATTTAACCAGAATAATTTTCTGCTTCATCTAATGATGTTGGTGGTAGTCCACTAATGTACCTTATCTCTCGGTGCATTGGCCAACAATGATGATGATGACGATGATGAGATCACTGAAAACAGTTAATGTACTGTGGGTAAACTGGGGGTGGGAGGGAGGGAGGGAGAGAGAAAGGGGAGTTGGGACGTGTCTGCGTGCAATGGCTCAAGCTTTAGTTTAATTAGAATGCATAACAAGCCACTAAAACCAAAAATGTTACCACATAGCAAAGCCAAACACCCGTAGAGAGAAAGAGACACAGAGCGAGAGAGAGAGGGAGAGCAAGAGAGAAATTATCTATGAAACTAGCTCCCACACATCCCCCCAACCTTGTCTGTGCAACTTAAAATGTCATTCATTTATCCCAGGCCATTGGGTATCATTGCACTGCTCTGACAGCCATCATGGTCCATTGCATAGCTAGGAATATGGGGTGGTGGCCTCAAAAGAATGGCAGAAAATCACAACTGAAATGTCCACTGCCAGCCAGGGAGGTGAGGTTGGTTTAGATTTTACCTTGGCTAAATAAAATATTGAGGAACAAGCACGTCTTAAGGAAACCGGAAATGCATGGCATCAATTTTAATTCCTTCATTGTTATCTCTTCTTCTTTGGATGCTGCTGCCACTGCAGCTTCTGAGGTTGTCTTGCAATTTGTAGAATTGTCGCTGTTGTTGTTGTTACAACATCTACAATTGTCTTGTAATTTTTACTGTTGTATTTAACTTTCTTCTATTCAATTTTGCAATTCGAAAGTTTTATTTCATTTTCTTTTGGTTTGCTTTCGAACTTTAACCGCTAATGATTTTCCTCCGATTCCTCCTCAGCTTATTCTTCTTCTTCTTCGTACTAAATGTTTATTCTCTCCAACCTCTTTTTGTTTACTTGCAGTTGCACCACAACGACCACGTCTGGAATATGAGGGCGCCCATGTACCGCCCGGCCATAACATTACCGTGGACGCTGGCTCCCTGGCCACGGTTAAGTGTGTCTCCCACTACGGCAATCCACCTGCAACACTTAAGTGGTTTCTTGGTAAGTTTGTTGCTATTGTTATTTAACTTGTTGTTATTTTTTTTGTGTGCACGGGTTTTTTCCCTCCTTAATTTGTCCTCCCTCCGCATGACCACAACAATACCCCCGAGGTTTATGGCTCATTTCATCAAAATTGTTGTAATGCGTTTTAATGTCCAGTTTCCTGGAATGCCATTCCAGTTCCAGTGTGATTATCTCTAATTGTTTTAATATCCAAGACATGGCATTCTAGTTAAATGGCAAGGAGCAGCAGTGTGGGGGTCCGGAGGAGCTGTCTATCAAATACATATGTGTGGTTGTGTAACAACATGATGAGGTTTTTAGGTTTAAAGCGATTTAGCTTGTCCGTATCAACAACAGCAACATGGTTTTATGGTCACTTTGGTAATTTGTATGGAAATTATTTAATTTGAGATTGTAAGAAAAATCTGCCAACTGTTTAAAAGAAGACAATGTCATTTTGATATTCTGGAGAAATGGAATTCATTATAAATTTACATAGAAAAAAAAATTAAAAAATAAAATTATTATTTTATTTGTTTGTAAAAAAGAAGTTTTCAAAATAAAAACTTAATTTATCAATAAAAAATTGTATTTAAAAATTTAATATGGCAGAATTTAATAGATCCACACATAGATTTTTAATACTGAAAGGATAGAAATGTAAAATGAAATAATCTTAAGGAAAATATTTTTCTTTTAAAATTTTTAAAGAAAAAAAACAGGCCTTGTCGACTTATTCTTTGCCAAGTTTTTTTTTTTTCTAAAAAACCACTTGTTTTTGTTTTTTTACATTAGTGTTAGTGGTCTACAAATTAAAATAAAAAAAAAACAGTAAAAAGGGTCCTAAAGTCGGACGGGGCCGACTTTATGATACCCTACACCACTTTGCTAGTTTAGTAGAGCTCCACATAATAATTAAAAGTTTTTATGGGAGAATTCAATCATACACCCTAAGATTATAATTATAATTTGAACCAAAAATGTTACCACATAGCAAAGCCAAACACCCATTGGGCCGCAGAGAGAAACAGAGAGAGAGAGAGAGAGAGCAAGAGAAATTATCTATAAAACTAGCTCCCACACATCCCCCCAACCTTGCTTGTGCAACTTAAAATGTCATTCATTTATCCCAGGCCATTGGGTATCATTTCAACGCTCTGACAGCCATCATGGTCCATTGAATGCAGAAATATGGGGTGATGACCTCAGAAGAGTTACATAAAATGAAAATATCCACTGCCAGCCACTGTCCAAGTTCAAAGGACTAAATATGCCGAAGCATTTGTATCTTTTAAATTCGGACTTGTATTGCCCATTTGGTGCAAAATAAATTTTAAATCAGATAATGATATATATGGGAGCTATATCCAAATCTGAACCGATTTCGATAAAATGTGGCAAAGATATTTCTTAGCTGTATTTGATATATTTACCTGAATATTGTTGTTACGGAGTGCATATTACGGCTGTGGGTAACAAATACAACAAGTCGGATGAACAATATATATGGGAGCTATAGCTATATCTGAACCGATCTTCACCAAATTTGGCATACTACCTTCTAGACTCAATTCGGTCGTAAGTGCCAAATTCCCTCCCATATAAGCAAATATTAGACGTTTGGTGCACAATAAAAGATAAATCGGACTAAGTTATATGTGGGAGTATATCCAAATCGGAACTGATCTCGATAAAATTTGGCAAAGATATTTCTGAGCTGTATTTGATATATTTCCCCAAATATTGTTGTTACAGAGTGCATATTACGGCTGTGGAGGACAAAAATAACAAATCGGATGAACAATATATTTGGGAGCTATAGCTATATCTGGACCGATTTGGATCAGATTTGGCATACTTATTTTCAGGCCTAATTTGGTTGTATGTGCAACATTCCATACTATTCGGGCTTATATTACACGTTTGGTGCACAATAAAAGGCAAATCGGATGAAGATATATATGGGAGCTATATCTAAATTTTTACCGATTATCTCCAATTTCAATAGGGTTCGTCCTTGGGCCAAACAAATGTTGTTTGGAAAATTCCATCTCAATCGGATAATAAATGCGACCTGCATTTTGTTCACAAGAATACATGGACAGACGGACGTACGGACAGACGGACAGACATGCATAAATCAACTCAGAAAGTGATTCTATGGAGATCCTCAAAAGTAACTATGGGTCTATCTCGCTTCCTTCTCCATGTTACAAACAAATATACGAAGACATAATACCCGTACCACTATGTGGTGTAGGGTATAAAAATTGTTACGGAAAATATCTTTCATTTCAAATTTTTTAGAATATATTCTAAAAACTGTATTCCACAAAAAAATAATGCACACTCAAACACTTCTAAGATATAAAAATTTTCATAAATCATTAGAAATAGGACAAAAGCGAAATTAAATTAAAGCTACTTTTAATTCGGCCAGGATGAACATTTTAAATCCTCTGCCGTATTCTCAAAATCCATAAAATTGGAGAGCTTCGTTATACATATATCGAGTGTTTTTTTAGATTAAATTCTGTTTTGGTTGGAAATTCAGACCGAAACTTTGAAATTGCGAAAACCAGGGGGGCAATCATATGCCGCGAATGGACCTATATTGAATATTTTTTTCCGAGGAGTAACACTATCCACAGGCCAACCCAAAATATCAATTAAACTAATTTGATTGAAATTGGGGTATAATTCTTAAAAATGCCTTCAAAATTTGGAGGTACATGGAAACTATACCTAAAAGTGGACCTATATTTTTCGTATTTCTTGGAATATTACCAATACCGGTAAAAAACATGCAAATCTAAATTGACATAGAAAATAACTCTGATTATGGGTATAAGACCCTAAGGACTCCTCCAACCCATATTTTGACGCGGCAAATGTAATAAGCACTTCATTATAATTATTCATATATAACTGGGGTTTTATGCCCTCCACCTTGGAAATATTCGAAATACGTAAATATTCGTCGTAGACCCCATAAAGTATATATATTCATAATCAGCAAAATTCTATGTCGATTAAACGATGTGCATCTGTCTGTGTGTCCATCCGTCTTTCTGCCTGTTGAAATCACGATACAGATCACATTATTTGACGTAGAGCTTCAAAATTTAGCAGAACAATTTGTATTGTCCACGTTTTGGTACAGTCCCCATATAACGGTACCTCCCGATATTCGATATTTTTGATGATTTTTGTCACATTTTTTTACGAATTTATCTAAAAATTGGTATTTGTCCTAGTCCTAGTTCGTGTGGCGAAACATTGTATGTATAGGCCCACGTTTTGGTATAGCCCCATATACAGGTACCTGCCGATATTCGGTATTTGGATGATTTATGCCACATTTTTTCACAGATTTATCTGAAAATTGGTATTTGTAGGTCCTAATGGGTTCTAGCTCCGCTGCCGAAACATTGTATGTATAGATCCACGTTTTTGTATAGCCCCATATAGCAGTACCTCCCGATATTAGTTATTTTGACGATTTTTGTCACATTTTCCCACGAATATGTCTAAAAATTGGCATTGGCTGGATCATAATGGGTTCTAAAGTTTCCCTTACTCTAAGCTGAAGGGTATTAATGGTTTTTTACTTGTTAAAGTTTACATCGATATGTAACCAACATAAAGTGGGAAAGTTCCACAAATTTTCAAATATTCGAGTTAAGATTCCCTGGAAACCATGACCCTTAGGAATATAATGTATTTGAAGTATATTTTTGTAACAAACATTTATGAATCAGTCGAGTCATTAAAAGGGTCTTTTAGGTACTTTTCATAAAAAACGTTTAAAAAGCTCCTTTAAAATGCGTCAGATCAAAATGTTTTACAATAAAATGTTACTATGGTCTCACAACACACGAGAAATTCAAAACTTACGAAAAGCCGGAAATCGAAATCAAAACGAAATTCGCTGCAAAAGGTTGTGGGAAATTTAAAGTGGATTTGGTATTATTCGCTAGAACAAAACTGCAAAAAGGCCTTTACTAGGAATCACGGTATTATATTTTTCCAACGATTTTTGGCTAAAAGTCGTGTTTTTTAATTGATCATTTAATCAGTAATTCCAGTACAAAATAGATGTTTTAGAACAATTTAAGATTATTTGGCAAAGTTGTGAAATTTTCAAGGATATATGTACGAATTCGTGGATTTTTCAAAAAAAAATTCTTTGAAGAACTTAATCAAAAAAGACCAAACTGAGGGTAAATTTCCAGGCCAAAAATTCAGGGACTTTTAACTTAAATATTTTAAAGAACATATAGCGCATGTTAGGGGGATATTTATCGGGGGTTTTCACCTCGATAGAATCAACATTTTTAATATATATAAAAAAATAACCTTCATTGAATTATATCTTGCAATCTTCAACTAAATATATTTTTATAATTTCTTTTTTCCAGGTGACCAAGAAATTGAACCCATTCATCCGCAAACGAATGCCACCGAACCAGATAATCCACGTACCTGGTCTGCCACATCGGTTGTCCAGCTGACGGCAATGCGTGAACGACATGGTGACATTTTACGTTGTCTGGCTTATCATGAATCATATACGGCTAAAACGGTGCCGGTGGAAGCCAGATTAGATGTTAAATGTAAGTGAACAATAAAAAAGTACTTAAATAAGTAAATTAACCATTTTAGAGATTATGTAAATTGTAAAGAGAGGGTAGGGGCAACAAGGAAAAAATTGAGGAAACTTAAAATTGTGTTTTTTTTCTAAGGTTCATTAAAATCAGCAAAAGCAAAAAATGAATACAACTTTTCTGGGTAGTAATCTTTTCATTATAAGATGAGAAAATTTAACCAGCTTCAATATGGAACTATATTCTTAACTAATCACTACACATTATAGGTATAAGTATACGTATAAGTATAACAAGTTAAAAAGCAGTAAGTTCGGCCGGGCCAAACTTTGAATACCCTCCACCATCGGGAACGAATTTGGAAATTTTCAAAAAAAAAAATTAAATCCTGTTGTTGCAAAATGCTCAGGCTTAATCCCTTTATTGTTGTTTGTATAAAAACAATGTTAGTTTATTAGTGGAGAACGATGGTAATGTTCCCATGTTTTTTGTCTGGGATATTCTCCCAGAAGTTATTTTAAAAATAACTTTTATGACAAAAAACAAATCACCCAAGTGACGAGATCGTAAGCTCAATAGAAGAGGAACCAAAGGATTGAATAAAACCTGAAAAAAAATCTGTTCAAATCTTAAAAATACCGAATATAGCCGTTATATTAGGGTCTATACGAAGTGGACCTACATAGGCATTGTTTGTCATAAGCCATTACCATATTCAAATTCGAAACTTGAAATAAACGGTGAATAATGTAGCTAAAATCATCAAAATACAGTACATAGGGAGGTACCGTTACATAGGACCTGTGCGAAGACCTGGACCAGCATAGACAATTTTATGTCACAGGCTGTAGCATCCATTACGAACTTCAAACCGACATATCAAGCAATTTTTATTGTACCTAAAATCAACAAAATACCGAATATAGGGAGGTACAGTTATATGGGGGCCATACGAAGACCTGGACCTGCACAGACAACTTTTTGTCTTAGGCTGTAGTACCTATTACGAACTTCAAATATCAAATTTGAAACAATTCCGGTGAATAATATCGCTAAAATTATCAAAATAACGAATATCGGGAGGTATTGTTATATGAGGGCCATACAAAGACGTGGACCTGCACAAACAATTTTCTGTCTTAGGCTGTAGTATCAATTACGAATATCAAATACCAAATTTGAAATAATTCCGGTGAATAATGTCGCTAAAATCATTAAAATACCGAATATCGGGAGGTACCGTTATATGGGGGCTCTACAAAGACGTGGACCTGCACAGACAATTGTCTGTCTTAGGTTGTAGTATCCATTTCGAACTTCAAATACCAAATTTGAAACAAATCCGATAAATATTGTCGCTAAAATCATCAAAATACCGAATAATGGGAGGTAACGTTATATAGAAGCTATACGAAGACGTGGACCTGCACAGACAATTTTCTGTCATAGGCTGAAGTATCTATTTCGAACTTCAAAAACCAAATTTCAAACAATTCCGTTGAATAATGTCGCTAAAATCATCAAAATACCGAGTATCGGGAAGTACCGTTATATGGAGGGCTATATGAAAACGAGAACCTACAAGGCCCATTTTCAATACCAAAAGTCCTGCAGACATAATATACATTTGAGTACAATTTTATCAATCTACTTCAATTCGTTCGGAAGTTAGAGTGATTTCCACAGACGGACAGAAGGGCGGACATCGCTAAATCGACATAGAATTTTATGCTGATCAAGAATATATATACCTTATGGGGTCTAAAATGTATATTTCGAGGTGTTACAAACGAAACGACAAAGTTAATATACCCTCCATAGTATGGTGCAGGGTATAAAAATAATTATAAATATAAGTATATGTATAAGTGTATAGGTATAAGTAAGTATATGTATAAGTATGAAAGTTTCAAGTTTCCTCAAACTTTCTTGAAAATCCAACAACCCCTCTTAAATCCTCCTTGTGAGAATATCCTTTACAGTAAACGGAAATCCATTTTCCTTGTACTTCCCATGCAGCTTCCCCCTCCTTCTCCTGCTCCTCCTTAAAAGGATAAACAATTAAATAACAGTTGCCAAACATAACACTTCATGGCAGTTGCCTTCGAACAAATTAAATTTCCTTTTGTAAAATTAAACACCCCAATGGCATTTTAGCTAAACTATCATTCACTCTTTCCCCTCCTCCCTTTACCCCTTTCCCCTCCAGCACCCACACAATTACGAATTTATAATAAATTTCCTATGAATTAAATGGAAAACATGGAAAACATTTTTAGTTATCCATCCGTCCATCTGTAGTCGCCACCTTGGGCCCAACAATTCTACGGAGCATGGTGGCTATGAGCAATGGCCCTGGACACCACTAAATATATCTTTCGCCCCAAAACAAAAACAATAATATGTTGAGCCAAAAAAACTGGAATTTTTGGCAACAAGTCAAAAGTGTAAATCTCTGGTACAGCTGCTGCTAACCGGTAATGCCAGTAACGAATGGATTTGGGTTTGGCAGGAATGAATGGCAGGATGGCTGGCTGGCTGGCTGCATGTCTAAATGTCCGGGCGGGATCAATACTGTTGTTGAAGACTGACTGGCTGCCGGTTAAATCAATTAAATTAACTGCAATTTTCCCTCAATATGCTTTAGTAGTCATTGTTGTTGTTCGTTCATTCTTCTTCCTGCCAACAACAACCACCCCACACAATATCCTGATCTCTTTTTCCTTGACTTATAAATTTTTTTGTCTTCTTTTACAGACGCACCAACAATACGTCTAATTGGCTCGCCGGAAATCGACTTGGAGGAGGATAAAGATGCACTGATATTACGCTGTGTGGCGGATGCCAATCCACCGGCCAGCATTGTTTGGCGGCGTGCAGGACGTTCTGAAATTGCCAGTCTACAGGTAAGTCAATGCATGTCATTCGCGCACACAAACACACGTATACACGATATGGTACAATATTTTGTTGCCAATATGTTTGTAAAGGATGAAATGACGTTCAGAGAGAGAGAGAGAGAGAGAGAGGGAGAGGGAGAGGGATGAAGAAAAATTGCAATAATGCCAAGACAATTTTAAAGGCAAAAAGTGTTCGAAAAATGGAGGTGGTGTGATAAGATTTGGTTGTGAAAAATATTTGAAAAAAAATGACAATAAACTGAAAATATGTAACATGGTTCCGATTTGTCTTTCCTAGTCACAATTTTGACGCTTACATATTAAGCTTTCGTTTCGTTATTATTTTATAAAACTGGGCGCAATGAATAAATTGATTTTGTTTTTTCTTATATGTAATGACGTATTGGATTTAATTTGTTATGTAAGATATTCTGGGGATTTTAAATCATTCCAAAAAGTAAAAATACTGAACAAGAACACCCTTTAGAATCTTCCTGCACGGACAAACCGAAAGTCTACGAGAAGTTATTAACATAGCTGCAATAAGTATTAGACGATCGGAAATGAATTTCTCCCTTTGACAAACAAAATGGTATTCAAAACGTCCGAATTTTTAAGTTATGAGTGAGTTTTTTGTAGGAATATATAAATTAGTATTAATTTTTTATTAAATAATGCAGGCAGGATTGAAAAACCAAGTCATGAAAAATTTATGCCAACGTCAGAAATGTGTAATTTTATACGCCAAAGATGCCTTGAGGTCACCTGCTTCAAGGTTTCAATAGCTTCTCTACCCTCACTAAAGAAATCTGATGTAAAAGTCAAAATAAATGGTTTTGGCGCCCAAGTGGTAAGATAATAACACCGACTATGCAGGCTTCATGCAGAGGAAGAAGAGTCTGAACAAAATTAATTTTAAATCTAGCAAATCCCTAGAATCGCTATCCCATTTAAAAAACTTTCAAAAACACTTGCTCAGGGCGCCAAAATGAAACAATAATATTGTGTCTAAGAAGACGAAGACGAGGATTGGTAAATATTAATCATTTATTGTGGCACTGTAATCAAAAAAAAAAAAAAAAAAAAAAACAATAGGTCATATTCACAACTCAATTAACAAAATTTTGCCAGAGCGGATGGTAACCATGGATTTTCGAATTTAGCTGAATTTTGGTGTAATATAATATGTTAACTAAATTTATATCAAGTTCAAAGTTATCAATGTCGGTCCGCTCCTTTTTGTATCCCACCCACTAATGTTAAAAAAAAAAACAAGTAAGCAAACGCTATAGTCGTGCGAGGCCGACTATGTGTCCTCTTATATTCAAAAACATTATGGACGACTTCATTTGTATACCCTACACCACATAGTGGTAAGGGTATTATGTCTTTGTGCATTTGTTTGTAACAGGGAGAAGGAAGCGAGATAGACCCTCAGTTACTTTTGAGGATCTCCATAGAATCACTTTCTGAGTTGATTTATGCATGTCAGTCCGTCTGTCCGTCCGTCCGTCTGTCCATGTATTCTTGTGAACAAAATGCAGGTCGCATTTATCATCCGATTGAGATGAAATTTTGCACAAATTATTTGTTTGGCCCAAGGACGAACCCTATAGAAATTGGAGATAATCGGTCAAAATTTAGATATAACCCCCATATATCTTCGTCCGATTTTCCTTTTATTGTGCACCAAACCTGTAATATCAGCCCGAATAGTATGGAATTTTGCACGTACGATCAGACTGGACCTGAAAATAAGTATGCAAAATTTGATCGACATCGATTCAGATATAGCTATAGCTCCCATATATATTGTTCATCCGATTTGTCATTTTTGTCCTCCGCAGCCGTAATACTTCGTAAAACTTCATAACAACAATATTTGGAGAAATATATCAAATGCAGCTCAGAAATACATTTGGTAAATTTGATCGAGATCGGTTCAGATTTGGATATAGCTACCATATATAACTTCGTTCGATTTACCTTTGATTGTGCACCAAACGTCTAATATTTGTCCAAATGGGAGGAAATGGCACATACGACCGAATTGAGTCTAGAAGGCAGTATGCCAAATTTGGTGAAGATCCATTCAGATATAGCTATAGCTCCCATATATACTGTTCATCCGATTTGTTACATTTGCTACCCATAGCCGTAATATGCACTCCGTAACAACGATATGTAGGGAAATATAAAAAATACAGCTTAGAAATATCTTTACCAAATTTTATCGAGATCGGTTCCGTATGGATATAGCTCCCATATATATCTTTATTCGATTTCAAATTAATTGTGCACCAAATGGGCAATACAAGTCCGAATTTAAAAGATACAAATGCTTTGGCATATTTAGTCCTTTGAACTTTAAATTATAATTATAATCATAGCGTGTATGATTGAATTCTCCCATTAAACTTTTAATTGTTATGCGGAGCTCAACTAAATTAGCAAAGTGGTGTAGGGTATCATAAAGTAGGCCCCGCCCGACTTTAGGACTTTCTTTACTGTTTTTTTTTTTTTTTTTTTTTTTTTTTTTTTTTTTTTTTTTTTGAAATTTCATCATAAAGCCCGGTCCAGATGTTACCCTTAATTTTTGACTGGGGTATTTGCCCAATATTTACGCCCACCGTCGTTTTGATTTGAAATCAAAACAATTTACACAAAAGTTGTGGTTCATTTTACAGCTAAATATAATCCAATGGCCATCCAAAATTCTACACTTCTTCCCTGTCCTTGACTCTGTTCTCCTAACCACACCTCCCCATTTCGTGGAGATCGGGCCATAATTACGACCTGTAGCGCGATTAGAAATTAACATGGACAGACGGACGGACGGACATACATAGCTAGATCGACTCAGCTCGGCGAGGTAGGAAGATCCATATATAGTTTCCTATATCGGAAACCATTATTTCGAAGTGTTACATAATTTTTGGCCCAATCAAACACATACTGTTGTAGGTATAAAAATATCAAAATATAGCTAATATTGAGCTAAGGGAGTACCCGATAAATGTTAGATATTTGCATAGGTTAGGATCGAAAAAGGACAATATTGGTCCAGTTATTCCTATATGAATATTAACTCCCTTAAAGTGAACGACCAATGCCTGATTTTCTATAAAATTTTCAATTTCTAATATTTTGTTTATATTGAATGAAAATAGAATACATCGGTCTACTCTTTCTGGCACCTCCCCTACAAAATGAGAGATTGACTGATAAAAAACAGAGTTGATTTGGAAATGTGCTCAGCAAGCTTACAAAAAGTACTAAATGATATTAAAAATTTGGTATTGCGTGAACGTACACTGAAAGTTGACATAAGGATCACCGTTGGATAGCGGTAAAAAAAAAATCTTGAAATTTGTTATGAGAATCAATTCATGGATATGGCGTTGATGTAAAAGGAGGTAGTTTTGGAAATGTTTGCTAAATGCAAGAAATGTACTTAATAATAAAAAATTTGGTACACTTCCGTTTCTGAATGAAGGGAAGAAGCTGGTGATTTGAAATGTAGGTATTGGGTTGACTGCTGGTGGGTAGGGTTAAAATAATGGCATGGGGTTCGCAAGCATGCGAACTCTACGAAATGTTACTAAATTTTTAAGAGGTTGTATTGGGAGAACGGATGAAGCTGAAATTTTGTGTCGTGATCCCTTTTGGTGGTATGTTTGTTATAAATAGTTGATTTTGGAAATGTGAACTACAAGTGTACGAAAAGTACTAAATAGTACTATATTTCATACAATTTGGTATTGAGTGAAAATATAGAGGTTGAAATTTAAAAATTTGATATTAGTACTAAATCGTACTATATTTGTTACAATTTCGAATCAGGTGAAAACATAGTGCTTGAAATTTAATAAGTAAGAAAACATTACGTCCTCCTGGCCGAACTTTTAATACCCTCCACCATCGGGTACACATTTTTATATAAAAGTATCTGAATTCAGACGTGTTACACTTTAAACTACAAATACCAGCAATACCGTTTGGATAATGCTGTTAAATTAAAAAAAACACATAAAGTGAATGAGGCAGTTATATAGGGGCCATACCAAAACGGAAAATCTCTATAGACATTTTTATACTTCTAGTATTGTTATCTACCAAATGTTCTTATTAATTACCAAATTTGAAACAATTTCGTGGGTAAATGTGATTAGAATTATCAAAAAAACCGAATATCGATAGGTATTGTTATATATAGCGTGGACCTAAATATTCAATGTTCTGTCAACGGAGCTAGAACTCATTATGAACTAATATATACATTTCCGTGGAAAAATGTGGCAAAAATCATCAAAATACCGAATATCGGGAGGTACTGTTATATGGGGGCGATGCAAAAACGTGGACCAATGCATACAATGTTTGGCCACCGAAGCTAGAACCCATTATGAACTACAATATCAATTTTTAGACAAATCCGACAAAAAATATGGAAAAAAATCATCAAAATACCGAATATCGGGAGGTACCGTTATATAGGGTCTATGCAAAAACTTGGAACTATATATTGTGTTTCGTCACCCATTATGTACTACAAATTCCAATTTTTATGCAAATCGGAAAACAAGGGTGGCGAAAATCATCAAAATACCGAATATCGGAAGGTATCGTTATATGGCGGCTATATTAAAACATGGACCGATATATTTCATTTTCAATACTAACTATCCTAGACACAATACAGGGTATAAGTTCAAAATTGCAAGCTCTACGTCAAATAATGTGGGTGTGGGACTGACAGACAGACAGACGGACATTGTAAAATTGACTCAGGATTTTATGCTCATCATGAAAATATATACTTTATGGGGTCTACGATGAATATTTAGGGATGTTACAAACGGAATGACAAATATACCCTCCTTTTCAAGGTGGAGGGTATAAACATTTGGTATAGGAGTCGCTGTTCATTTGTAACCTTGAAATATGGAGGTAGATTTGGTGATGTGTACTATCATTAAAGAAAAAGTACTAAATGGTACTATATTTAGTTTTGGGTGAAGGAATTGAGATAATTTTCTGAAATTTGATATTGAGTTCTAGTTGATAGTTTTGGGTCAATTGTGCAATTTTAATATCCTAATCATTCAAAATTAACGATTTTGGAGACTTTTTGGTGTAGTAGAGAAACGTTTTCCTATTATTTTTTCCGATAAAGAAAAACCTTAAATAAGATATAAAACCTTGAAAGTCCTAATTTGTCAACCTGAAAAAATTGTGGATCTTGAATACTTAAACGACCGTTTTTGGAATCAGCCATGCTGTCCACGAGTGACAAGGGCGATGGATGGCATGCCAGCAACGTGTCATAAATATTAATATTGGTATTTCTTGATTAAATTTTTAAACCGTCATTTTTTATTCGTTTCTGCATTTCTCAACTTATCACACACACCTCGTTTGGCAAACGCTATATCATCTTGAATCTCCGAGATTTAAATTTAATATACCATGTAATTGTACATGTCTATACATACACCTTTTTTACTTATTGTGCCAATATGTGCCAAAATTTATACATTCTTGCTTTTTTCCACTTCTCTCATCTCGTCCCATCTTCTGCTTTTCACTATTTCTTTCACAGGAAACTTTACAACTACGCCCTGTTGGACGACGTGATGCCGGCTTATATACCTGTCAGGCACAAAATTCGGTTGGTACCTCAGAACAGTTATCTGTGCAGTTGGATGTGAAATGTGAGTATTGTTGTTGTTGTTGATCTTCTTTTTTTGACGCTTTAGTTGGCAAACCTTTATCAATGTGTTTTCCCTATTTCTTGTCTTCTTTTTTTTCCAGATCCCCCTAAAATATTGTCCGCTGGACCAGATCGTTTAACCACAGCACCATTATTTACACCAGCCGCCTTTGAATGTGTGGCCGATGGCAATCCAATGCCCTCCTTTAAATGGGTCCAACGGTAAGTGAGGCCGAGTCCAGTTATCACGCAAAGTTTTTCTTGTGTCATTCATGCATACATCTTGAGGGTGTTTTTTTTAGAGATTTTTTCCGAAAGTTCCAAGGGTTTTTTGTTTTGTTTTCCATTTTTTTAGTTTTTGGTTAATAATTCCAATTCCGTTGATGGATTTTTTGTCGTGGGCTATCGCAGCCATTTCGAGTTAACTCCGTGGGTAGATATTGATGCAACACCACAACAGAAATACGTGACCGCCATTGGCGTCTCCAACATAGCAGGAACGTCAACTCCATCCAGTACTACCATTAAATTCCTGGCCTCCAGACTATGGAGTTATGAGGGGGTTCTCCCTCACATTTCTATTGCTGCACAAACAAACGTTTGCCACTCACAATAATTTTGTATGCGTGGGTGTGAGTGTGTGAGCTCGTCGGGACAGAGGGCGTCTTTTTTGGGGCAGATTATTGCGTTTTCCATTAAAAGTTTGTGTTGGCGGATAGTTTTATGTTCTCGTCGTTGGTTTTTTTTTTCGAACCCTAACTTTGTTATTTTCACATTTGTAGATTGAAAACATGTTTTTTTGCGTTGTTGAGCAACAAATTTTTATTCTATTTTTGAGCTGTTGTAGAGGGCGTTTTTTGAGGTGGTTGCTTCGGTCTGTTTGTCTTTATTCTTTTGGTGTTGTTTTTTTATTGAAAACTCCTAACAACTACGTGTTGTACATTTACATGTTCGACAAATCAAAAAATGAACAACACCCGTTAATGGCGAATATCAATCATCCAGAAATCCTTAAATGTGGTATTGAATTGTTTTGAGCATTAAAAAAAAACCCTAAAATTCTGGAAATGAATGAAAATATTTTTAAATATCCACAATTGTGGGTCTCTCGGCTTCTAAAAAATATTTTTTTTGGTCATTGTAGAATTTCATTTTAATTTGTTGTTCCTTTAACATCTATTTAAAAATAAATCCACGATTATGGCCCAGTTGAACTTTTTGTCGTTTGAAAAAAAAATAATTTTAAAAATCAACGATTATTTCTCCTTTAACATTTTTTTAAATCTGCGATTGTGGCGCAGATGGACTTTTGGTCCTTTGAAAAACAAAAAATTAAAAAAATCCACGATTACAGGCCAGTTGGGATTTTGGTCCGTTGAAAAAAATATTTTTAAAAATCCACGATTATTAGTCCTTTGAAAACATATTTTAATCTTTCGAAAAATATTTTTAAAAAAATATTTTTAAAATAAATTTTTGAAAAAATATTGTTAAGAATCCATGATTATGGCTCTGTAAGTCTTTTGAAAAAAAATAAATAAAAATCAACGATGTAGTCCTTTAAAAAAATATTTTTTAAAAAAATATTTTAGTGCTTTGAAAAAAATTTTTAAAAAAAAATATTTTAGTACTTTGAAAAAATATTTTTAAAAAAGTATATTTTTTATTTTTATTTTTCTTTTTCTTTTATTTTTCGACGATTATGGCTCTGCTGCAATTTAAAAAAAAAAAAACTATTTTTTTTTAAATCCACGATTATGGCTCATTTGCTACTTCGAAAAAATATTTTTTAAAAATCTACGATTATAGCTCTGTTAGTCCTTCGAAAATATATTTTTTTTTAAATCCATGATTATGGCTCTGATAGTCCTTTGAAAAAATATTTTTCAAAATCCACAATTAGTGCTCTGTTAGTCCTTTGAAAAAAATATTTTTAAAAACCCACGACTATGGCTATAATAGTCCTCTGAAAAAATATTTTTCTTTTGAAACAAAAATTAAAATCCTCTGTTAGTCCTTTTTAAGTATATTTTTAAGAATCCACAATTATTGCTCTGTTAGTCCTTTGAAATTAAAATTTTTAAAAATCCACGATTATGGCTCTGATAGTCCTTTGAAAAAATATTTTTAAAATCCACGATTATCAGTCTTTTGAAAAAAAATATTTGTAAAAATCGACGGTTATTAGTTCTTTGAAGAAAAAAAATATTTTTAAAATCCACGATTATCAGTCTTTTGAAAAAAAATATTTGTAAAAATCGACGGTTATTAGTTCTTTGAAGAAAAAAAATATTTTTAAAAATCGACTGTTATTAGTACTTTGAAAAAAAATGTTTTTAAAAATCCCCGATTATTAGTCCTTTCAAAAAAAAAATATTTTTAAAAATCCACGATTATTAGTTCTTTGAAAAAATATTTTTAAAAATCCACGATTATTAGTTCTTTGAAAAAATATTTTTAAAAATCCACGATTATTAGTTCTTTGAAAAAATATTTTTAAAATTCCACGATAACTAGACCTTTGAAAAAAATATTTTTAAAAATCCACGATTATTAGTTCTTTGAAAAAATATTTTTAAGAATCCACGATTATTAGTCCTTTAAAAAAATATTTTTAACTTTGAAAAAAATATTTTTAAAAATCCACGATTATTAGTTCTTTGAAAAAAATATTTTTAAGAATCCACGATTATTAGTCCTTTAAAAAACTATTTTTAAAAATCCACAATAATTAGTTCTTTGAAAAAAATATTTTCAAAAATTCACGATAATTAGTCCTTTAAAAATAAAATTTAAAATCCATGATTATTGGTGCTTTGAAAATATATTTTAATAATCCACGATTATTAGTCCTTTAAAAAATTATTTTTAAAAATCGACGATTATTAGTGCTTTGAAAAAAATATTTTTAAAAATCCACGTCCTTTGAAAAAATATTTTTAAAAATCCACGTCCTTTGAAAAAATATTTTTAAAAATCCACGATTATTAGTGCTTTGAAAAAAATATTTTCAAAAATTTACGATTATTAGTCCTTTAAAAATAAAATTTAAAATTCATGATTATTGGTCCTTTGAAAATATATTTTAATCATCCACGATTATTAGTCCTTTAAAAAATTATTTTTAAAAATCGAAAAAAAAATATTTGAAAAAATATTTTTAAAAAATCTCTGTTAGTCCTTTGAAAAATATTTTTAGAAATCTACGATTTCGGCTTTGTTGGTCCTTTCAAAAAATATTTTTAAAAATCCACGATAATGGCTCTGTCCTTTGAAAAAATTAATTAAAAATCCACGATTATGGCTCTGTTTCTCTTTTCAAAAAAATATTTTTGGCTCTGTCAGTCCTTTAAAAAATATTTTTTAAAAACCGCCAATTATGGCTCTGTTGGTCCTCTAAAAAGATATTGTCCTTAAAATTTTTATAAAAAATCCCTGCCAAATATTTGGTCCAATGAATTTTTAAAAAGTCCACTTGAAGGAAGTATTTGATCCTTAAAAAAATAGTTTTTAAAAATTCGGGTTTATCCCTGGAAATTATTTCTTTAAAAAATCCACGATTGATTGTTTTGTGATCCTTGAAAAAGTATTTTGTTCCCTGCCATAAACAATCCTTCTGATCTGAGCAGTATTCTCCCATCCGTTTTGCGAATCCTCTCTTCTGGACAATGCCCACCGCTCAATAAAATCGTCATTAATTAAATACAACATATTGTCTCAGAATATGATTCCGCATATTTTATTTCAGCCATAACAGGAGTTTTACCAACAAATCCCCAGTCATTAACATTCCCCATCCCCCTTGAAGGCTTACACCAATTGCAATTTGGTCTCAATTGTTTGGGCATATATTTAACCCCCTGAAGAATGGTCGTGCCTAAAATAACAAATAGCCTTCATTCGTCCCTCCGATGTTGGTGTATTGTCGTTGACTTTTGTTGTTATTGTTTTTGGTTTATTTAGGACCCAACAATTGGTATTTAATTTCTTTGGCAGACACGTACTTCATTAAGTCAACACTTACATATGCCAGCCGCTCGTTCGAATGGAATTGCCGAAAGGGTCTTAATTGGTTTCACCATGGTTTGGGTCATGATGTGGTTAATGTTGTCGGTGTAGGATGTGAGGGATTTTCAAAGAGAGAGAGAGAGAGAGGAAAGGGTGAGAGAAAGAGAATAAAGTGTTGGAGAGGTATTAACTATCAAAGGATAGATCTTTTTATCATGAAATCTACATTACATCTACATTATGCAGACGACGTGAATAATGCATCTATGTCATACAGATGACGCCGATGAGTTATCTACATTATACCGAAGATTTGGATAAAGTATCTGCGACATTCTGAAGACTTGGATAATGCACCTACGTCATCCAGAAGGCGTGGGTAATGTATCTATGCGGTACAGATAAAGCGGATTATGTATCTACGTCTTCTAGATACATTGGATAATGTATCTACATCATTAAGATGACGTAGATAATGTATATACGTCATGTCGATTACGTGGATAATTTATCTTTATCATATAGATGACGTGGATAATGTATCTCTGTCATGTAAATGACATGGATAATGTATCTACGTCATGTAAATGACGTGGATAATGTATCTGCGTCATGTAAATGACGTGGATAATATATCTACGCCATCCTGATGACGTGGATGATGTATCTACGTCATGAAGATGAAGTGGAAAATTTATCTACGTCATTAAGATGACGTTGATAATGTATCTACATCTACAGATGAAGTGTATAAAGTATATATGTCATCCAGGTGACATGGATAATGTATCTACATCATCCAAAAGACGTGTATAATGTATCGACATTATCAAAACTACGTCTTCTAGATAAACTGGATAATGTATCTACATCATTAAGACTACGTAGATAATGTATCTAGGTCATGTAGATGACGTGGATAATGTATCTTCGTCGGGTAGAAGACGTGGATAATGTATCTATGTCATGTATGTGACATGGATAATGTATCTATGTCATGTATATGACATGGATAATGTATCTACATCTTGTAGATGACATGGATAATGTATCTATGTCATGTAGATGACATGTATAATGTATCCACTTCATGTTGATGACGTGGATAATGTATCTACGTCATGTTGATGACGTGGATAATGTATCTTCATCATGTAGATGACGTGAATAATGTATCTTCTTCATGTTGATGACGTGGATAATGTATCTACGTC